GTTTTTAAATTTGATTTTTTTGGATTTTCGGTTCAGTATTGGTTTAAGCACTTTGTACACCGATTTAAACCGAAACTGACCGCTTCAACATATATTGTATTTATAATATATATATATATATATATAATCTAATAATATAATGATATTAATAAGTATAATAAATTATTAACCTTATCTTTTTTATAACCCGAGTTTGTAATTTCTTATTATATATAATCTTAATTCTATCTCATTATTCTTGAATAGCGTTTGGTAACGTTTACATTTTTTATTTATGTTTACAAAAATTTTATAAAGTGGTTTTGTTTATTTTTAGAAAAACATAAATTACAAACGCGTTTGGTTTGAACAAAATATTTGAAAATTTTTAAAAACATAAACTAAAAAATATGTTTGTTCAAGCCTAAAATATTTATATTTATTTTTTATTATTTATGACAATGGGATCATACACATTATAATTGGAAAAAAAATTAATTGAAAAAAAAATTAATTGAAAAAAAATAATTGAAAAAAAAAGTATCTGAAAAAAAAAATTCATTGAAAAAAAAAATTGTTAGTTAAATTTTTAAATTTTTGTTTAAAAACCAACGTAAACTCATTTTTTGAGTTTTCGTTTTTTCCTCAAATTTACAAACTGAGACAATCATTTATAAACTAAAAAAATTATCAAACAATTTTTTATGGCAATTTTTTAAATTTTTGTAAATATAAACTGAAAACGAAATGATTACCAAACATGCTAGTATTTTCAAACTTTTTTTTGTTTCTATTTTTGTTAATTTATGAATTGAAAGTATGTATTAAATGAATGGATTGGATATGTTTAAAATGGTAAATAAATAACTAATTTAATATTTTTATATAGATTAATGATTATATTTAAAAGTGACTCGAGTTTGAAGAATCTTAAACCAATTAAATCACACCAAACCGAACTTAGTTCGGTTTCAGTGCAGTTTGATAGGAGAATCGGTCTGTATCGGTATTCAAAATAATAAAACCGACATTATCAGTTTGGTATAATTTTTTACCTAAATACAGACCATACCGAACTGATTACATCCCTAGCAGGAAGGCCATATTCAAACACGAACTGAAATCGGAGAACATAATTGTTGTAATTAGAAGATGAGAATTCAAAATGAAATTCAAATAAAAGTGGGGTAAATTATATTAGTAGTCCTTAAATTTTGCCTATTATGTTATTTTAGTCCCTATAATTTTAACTAGTTCAATTGTAACACTAAATGCAAGTTCAATTTAGGATTTTAAATCTCAATTTTCAAGCACGCATCTTTTGAAAAGATAGAGGCTCTGTTTGTTTCAACATAAAATAATTTTTAAAAAAATTATTTTTCTTATTTTCTGACATTTATTATTAAAAAAATAAAAATAACAGAAAATAAATTTATTTAGATAAAAAAATGTTTTACACTTGTGAAAGGTGAAAAATAGTTTTCAGACTAATGTCTTACCATTGTACCACTCCACCGCAACTACTACCACCAATTCAACCGCCCCACTACCACCACCTCTGCTACCATCCTACCCCCATCACCATCACTAGTACAATTACTAGCACATTAATTTTAATGTCACAATTAAATATAGTAAAACAATTTCTAATGTAAAATATTTTTTATCAAAACAAATGGAATGTGCACATTTGAAATGTGTTGACACCATAAATAAATAACTTTATTATTAGTTATTATTTTATAATTGCAGGATACGTGTTTCTACTCATTTGAAGGTTATGAGAAGTTATAAATCATTAAACACATGTGAAAAGATGATGGAGAATGTGGACGATCATGGAGCATAATGTGGAAAACATGGAGCATGAATTGGATGTTAAAGGAAGTTATTGAGACATAGAGATGAAGTGGGAGATCATGGAGTGTGAAGTGTGGGAGATGGAAAAATATGGTAGTTATTAGATAGTTTTTTCCTATAAATATTTGCCTATAAATAGCCATTCATGGCTATATTGTAAGGAGTCAGAATTCAAATCAAAGATAATTGATTTTTTTTTTCTTGTCATTTATATTTCCTGCACTTAATTTTATACACTTTATTTTCGATGCATAGAAGTAGAGGTAAATTTTCTACACTTTATTTTATGCACTTTCTTTTCGACGCACAGAAGTAGAGGTAAATTAATGGTTAATTTGATTGTTCACTCAATCATCTTTCTCTGTCTCCCTCCTCTTTCTTTTAATTTTTTTTTTCTACACTTGACAATTTTGAAGTCCTGATCGAGACAAAAAAATCGTCAATACAATAATTTAATAATTGACTTAAATTTAATATGTAATAATTTTTATATTCTTACTAACACACTCATATTTATAATACAACAAAATGTCAAATTGTTGTCGTGTTAAATTATTGCCTCTCTTGCAGTCTCCCTCACTGTGCGTCAAACTTTCTATGTTGTGAGGCTTGTGTATCTCAACACTCAATTGTCCCTTTTTTTCTTTTCTTTTTTTTTTCTTTTTTTTTTTTGTGTGTGTGTCTTTGTTAATCCTTTTTTTTTCTTTTTTCTTTTTTCGATTGTACCTTTGTTTGTCCTTGAATGCACCAAATCTATGTCATGTTTGTTGTATTCTCTCAATATATGTGTCTCCATGCTTCTATGTTTTTGTGATTAATTAACTAAAGGATAAATTACAATTTTCACCTTCAAATTTTAACCAAAACTTCTCTAGTTCTTTCTTTTGATTGTAACAATTATATCTTTAGACTTCAAGTGGAGTTTCAATTTGGTTATCTTGCCACTTATTGTTACAAATTTAAATGAAATGTGCTTATGTTGGTGTCATGTAAACACATTTCAGGGACATTTGAGAAAAAATTTATGACAAATTACACTTTTTAACTTCAAACTTTCAATCAAATTCCATTTGATTTCTCACATTTGAACTTCTACTCAAATTTCCAAGGATGAGATAGCAGGGAGTAGGGATGTAAGAAAAATCGAAAAAATCAACCAAACCGATTGAATCGGACCAAATCGGCTATATTTGTTCTATTTTTTAACACGAATCGATATGTGCGGTTTTTAAATTTGATTTTTTTCAATTTTCGGTTCGGTATTAGTTTAAGCACCTTGTACACCGATCTAAACTGAAACCGACCGTTTCAACATATATTGTATTTATGATATGTATATATAATCTAATAATATAATGATATTAATAAGTGTAATAAATTATTAACCTTATCATCTTTATAACCTAAGTTTGTAAACTCTTATTATATATAATCTTAATTCTAACTCAATATTCTTGAAACCTTAGTATTTTCAAACTTTTTTTTGTTTTTCTTTTTATTAATTTAGGAATTGAAAGTATGTATTAAATGGATGGATTGGATATATTTGAAATGGTAGACAAATAACTAATTTAACGTTTTTATATAGATTAATGATTATATTTAAAAGTGACTCAAGTTTGAAAAATCATAAACCGATTACACTGCACCAAACCGAACAGTTTCAATTGGTACGGTTTGATGAGAGAAGCGGTTTGTATCAGTATTCAAAATAATAAAACCGACATTATCGGTACGGTATACTTTTTACCTAAATACCAACCATACCGAACCGAGTACATCCCTCGCAAGAAGGCCATATTCAAACACGAACTGAAATCGGAGGACATAATTGTTGTAATTAGAAGATGAGAAATCAAAATGAAATTCAAATAAAAGTGGGGTAAATTATATTAGTAGTCCTTAAATTTTGCCTATTATGTTATTTTAGTCCCTATAATTTTAACTAGTTCAATTTTAACATTTAATTTTAGATTTTGTGTTAATTTAGTCCAATTAATGACGCCGATTAAGATTTTTTGAAGGAATATGATCATTGGATTAATTAAAGTTAACTCACTGAGGTCTCGTTTGGAAACCCTCCCGTTTAGCCAAAAAGTCAAAAAGTTACTAAAAAAGCAAAAAAGTCAACAACCCATACCAAAAAGTCAAAAATTCTATTTTCTCTCTACTTTTTGTACATCTTTTCGTAAAAAGACAAAAATTCATCCCAAACATACCAATTTTTTTTAGCTCATATTTTAGCCAAATAGCCAAAAAATTATTAAATTAGCATGTTCCCAAACGAGACCTGAGTTGAATAAGTTTACAACTTTAGTTACGTCTTTCTTTTTACTTTTAGTTCTAGTAAAATGAAGTTCAATTTAGGATTTTAAATCTCAAACTTTTATAAGCAAATTACACGGATAGTTTCTATATTTTTATTGGGTCTGGATTGTCTGCAGTTTAGATCTAGGACAGTCCGGTCTAATTCGGCCCATTGGGCCTATTTTTGGGCTCTTTTTCGATAATTCGAACCGTTCATATTTTAGGGTCTGTTGAGTATAATATCCCTATAAAAAATCACATCAATTAGATAATTGATACTATGTATTCGAATCACTTTTATTTAGAAAAATTGGACGGTCATAAAAAAGTGATCCGAATACATAGTATCATATATCTGATCGACGTGATTTTTTACAAAGATAATATACCTAACAAATTCTAAAATGAGAACGGTCTGAATTATCAAAAAAAGATCCAAAAATAGACCCAATGAGCTGGATTAGACCCTCCAGACTACAGTAGACTGGAGGCAAACCACTGTCATTTTTATTCATGTGTCATTTTGGTTACTATAAAGGGGACATACTAAAATTATAGCAACCAAAATGAGGAGAATAAAAATATAGGAACTATCATATAATTTACCCATAAAAGTTTGAGCTGCAAAATCCTAAATTGAACTTGCATTTTACTAGAATTAAAACTAAAAAGAAAGATGCAAAAAGCAATGTTGATCCTAGTTAGATAGCATTTTCCCTCAATTTACAAATTAAAAGGCTCTCTCCCTCTCTCCAAACACACCCACAAAAATGAATTTATTAGTGAATATAGAGTGGATTGGGTGGCCCATATCATTTAGGTAGCAAGCTAATGTGGAATTGGATTAGAGCAAATGACTAAAATATGATAGAGTTACATGAGTGGCCACCACAGTGGGCACAAACCAACTCAAACCTGTGTTATTGATGAACTAATAATCTGTACGATATAGTGTACGGATCTCCTTACAAACCACACTGAAAACGCATCATCATCATATTTTTTTTGCAGAAGCAACCTTCATTTATTGGTCATTACATAAAACATAAAAATAAAAACAAAAACAAACATAATAATACTCTGACTTGTCCTTGCAGAGGTTTCCTTGAATCCATTCGGAGAAGTTGTGCAGTGAAAGCATGCATAGCGGAGCCCAAAAATACACCAAGAGTCTGAAAAAGTGATGAAATGCCAAAGGATCGAAGTTGCCCTGTATAGAAAGAAACCGCCTTTTATTAAGGCGATTGGTTCCACGGTGTCATCAGAAGACGAAAAAAACACACAAATCCAAAGACACCGCCATGAACTGACCACCAAACCTTAGACCTTGTCGACCTAACCTGCCACCGTTGCCAGCGATACGTGGTGGCCGGAGAGAGAGAAAGCCTTGGCATCACATTTTGAAGGGGGTGGTGCAGTGTTAAAAGGGGGTGATGAAGAGGGTTGGCTTGGATGTTTATGAGGATTGGGGTGTTGTGAACTTGGTGGGCATGATAGCAATATAAGAGTGAGGTGACTTGAGTAAGTAGTGTGTGGACACTTTTGGTTAAAGTAAGAAGGAAAAAAAGGGATTGGAAAAAGTGTGAAATGGGAGGGGTTGCAAGGTAGCATCTTCCAAAGGATATGCCATTGGGTAGTTGGCACCTCCACTGCTCCCACCACATCTATGTCAAGATCCTCTTTCATTTCTCCCCTTTTTGGCCTTTGGATTTTCTACTCCCCCCATGCTACAAGTCTTCCTTGTTTATTAATTCTTAAAAATTTGGAAAATTTACAATTCAGTGGTTGATTCAAAAAATAACATATATAGAGATCTTTATAACTTGAATTATTAATGTTTATAAAATTTATCATTGATTTGTAATTATTTTTAAAAAATTACTCCAAGTGTAATTTCCCCTCAAAATTTTTAGGTCTTATGAATTAAGTTGTTATAACCATTCTACTAATATCATCAAAATTAATAAAATTTACAATTTTTTTCCACCAACAAACTTCATTGGTGAAAATTGTTATTATTATATTACTCTGGTGGATATCGTTTCTAATATCAAAGCTTCATCATTACTACTACGATATCTGTAAGAAAATCTTATGAAGTATCTTTTTTAGGATTTAAAAAAAAATGATATTCACACATAATTTTCATGTAAAATTTAAGACAATAATAACGTGACAATAACATTCTTACAATTATAAATCAAAGTGATGGGTATTTTGATTTTCAATGAACAAATAAGATATATCATTCTGTATGAATTTTTTTTATATAATTTCTGTTTGTATAGCATTCATTATCGTTGACTTTTATCTTGCGACTAGCAAATTAAAATCTTCTCTAGTTTAGCCTGCTATAATTTTTACAAAAGCTAAAATTTGACAACTCTCAAAAATTCATCTTTAATGATTTGTCAAAATTTGGCATATCTTCACATTTTTCATGTGGAGTCCACAAACGGCAATTCATTTAGTATTTTGTGAAAAAAATAAAATAAATGACATTTAGACGGTGTATCAAGATTGATAAATTATAATATTTTAACATTGTAACATGTCAAAATTTAATTTTGACATTATTATTTTGACATCAAAGATGCTTACGTCACAAAGATTAAGCAACTAGTAAGCCTCTATCAATGGGCAATATAGATATCATCCATTGAATTTCATTTTTTATCAACATGACTATTAAAAAAATGCGATTACTTTTGTTAGTTGTGAACCTAATCTACATCCAGAACAACAATCAGCTAAGCTATCAACCGCTGTGAAAATCACACATCAAGATTTTTTTATTTTTTATTATTTTGGGGGGGGGGGTTGTGACACTACTCCTTGAGTGGGCCCCTTGTGCTGGGACGGCCAGATTAACAATATTAAAATAATTATATTTCTTTTAATTATGATTTATTTGTCATCTTATATATCAATAATTTAAATTTTATAATTACCCTTGAAATTAATGTTTCATGGTTTTCGTTAGATTTGTTAACTAGTCAATTAGATTATATTATAAAAAAAAAAATTTTGAACAGTTTAAAAATTAAATTAAAACAAATATATTTTCAAGATTGAAGTGAGAATTAACCCATATTTAAAGGAAGTGAAGTTTTATTTAGTTTTTTATAATACAAAAAAATAAAATAAAATAAAAAGATAGCATTCAAAGTTCTACCCTGTTTGATTTAGTGAGTTCCAACATTCATATTTGTTATCAATACAATGTTAACATATTGTTGACACTAAAAATTGTATATTCTCTATCGATTGTATGTAACAAATGCAGGGAATTGGTCCAGCGGATGCTAGGTTTAAAGACCACGAGTTTTCACAAGTTTACAAGTGAAAAGCGAGTGAAGATGAAGCCTAGAATACAGAGTAAGTGACAGAAAGGAAATAGTCAAAGAGAGACGTGGCAGTTGCAGTTTCCCTGTCGATTCGTCTAGTAATGAAGTGGAATGTGGCCAAACATGGCCCAAGCGTCAAGCCATAAAATTAGCATGCAAGGCATACAGGATACGTGTCATGTTTCCTAGAAGGAGAATAAAACTACAACAGATAAGCAGTTACTGGCAGTTGCAGAGATCATGGGCATTGAAGTGAAAGTAGCTGGCTATATGATGGGACACATGGCAGCACAGCAGCAGTAAAGTTTGAAGACCGTCAATATAAAAGTTGGGAATTCGAAGTTAGAATGATCTTCAAACAAATTTACAACCCTTATAGCATTAGGAGTAACTTAACTTAGTTAGTTCTTACTTAGGAATAGTCTATCTGTAGTTCAGTTTCTGTAACTAAGAATTCCCTGTCGATTGTCATGTACATTGAACTGAAAGTTTAATTTTACTGATTAAATTCCAAGTTTGTTTGTTCAACAATTGATTTTCAGTTTATTCCTTCTTGTTTCTTCGCATTACAGCCTCCAAAGAAGTTCTTGAATCTGTCAAGGCATAGGACGTTCAGACCACAATTGCTTGATTTGTTGTTGTTTGTAAAAGTTTGGCTTTTCTGTCGAATCACCCCTGTCGATTTGGCCCATACCAGAGAGCGATAAAATAATATGTATTGTATTGAATAAATTATATTGAATAATTGTCCTATACAATAGAAAGCCTGCATATATAGGCTGAGAAAGAGTATAGAGTATCCTATTAGAAATCTAACTATGAGAAAGAATATTCTATAAGAGACCTAACTATGGCAATACCTAATATATCTAAGAAATCAATACCTAATATATGTAGGAATATATATCATATAAGTCAACTTATTAGGACCTACACGTAAGTACCCCTATACATTAACATCTCTCCTCAAACTCAAGGAGGATAAATATCTTGAGTTTAGAGAGAGAAACTAAAACATAAAATAAAACTAAATAAAATAAAAGGCAAATAGATTGCAAAATCCGAACATGAGCGCAAGGGCGCTTGAAATAGATCAGAGACCGAAACTAATGTCAGGAGACAATTTATGGTCGTGTCAGACCATTGTAGGAACTGGCTAAAACTAATGTCAAGACAATTTAAGATCGTGCCGGACTGATATAGAAACTGGCTGGAACTAATGCCAAGAGACAATTTATGGTCATGTTGGACCATTATAGGAACTGGCTGGAACTAATGCCAAGACAATTTAAGGTCGTGCCAGACCGATATAGAAACTGGCTGGAACTAATGCCGAGAGACAGTTTATGGTCGTGTCAGACCATTGTAGGAACTGACTGAAACTAATGCTAGGACAATTTAAAGGGGTCATGCCGAACCGATGTAGGAGCTAACCGGAATCAATGTAGGGACAATTTACGGAGTCATGCCGGACCGTTGTAGAGATTGGATGTTGAACCAGCAAGCGTGGCAAACACATAACTTATGACGTAGTCTGAACGATGATGGCAACAGATAACTAAGTGTGCCAGGAGATGGGTTGGATGGTGTGCTAGGGGGCAAGTTTGGTGGTGCGCCAAGAGAGGGCGGCTTAGATTGTGCGTCAGAGGAAGTGGCTTGGGCTGTGCGCTAGAAAGAGACGGCTTGGGTTGTGCAAGAGAGAGTGCGACTTGGATTGTGCACCAAAGGAGGTAGCTTAGGTGGTTTGCATGGTGTATAACCATGTTCACCATGATATAGGTTTAATACCCCCCTCAAACTCAAATAAGTTTGAAGATAGAAACTAATTTGAGGTTGAAGCAGAGGGAAAGATAGAGTGGAGAGAAAAAAAAAATGCATTGTGAGTAAAAAAAAAAATGATAGAGATTTTTGGGGTAGGAATAAACCAGAAATCACCACGAAGCGACACTGAAAGGAAAACATGACAGCGGAATAGGTTGAGGTCCAACGGGCGACCAAGGCAAGGCTGCCACTCGCCGGTGAAGCAAAATTATGAAGTACTTAACCTAGCTCTGATACCATGTTAGAATAGTAAAGTGAGATGAAATAATATGTATTGTATTGAATAATTGTCCTATACAATAGGAGACTTGTATATATAGACTGAAAAAAAGTATCCTACTAGAAATCTAATTATGAGAAGAGAAAGAGTATCCTATAAAACACCTAATTATAGCAATACCTAATATATCTAGAAAATCAATACCTAATATATATAGGAATATATACCATATATACATTAACACCTTAGTTCAACCAAAATAAAGTGTTATTAATATACATATACTTTTGTTGATTATTACCTAGTACTGTTCAACAACAGTGGTGTTGCTATTTGATGTCATACGTTACAAATTTCAGCAAATCTCATCTTAAATTTACGTAATCCGACTCCGATTTTCTCTTTATCCACACAAATAATTTAGTAATTTTGAAGTAAATTCTAAAATGAGCCGTAAATTAACATCCCAAACTACATCCCAAACTAGTATTATGCCTCAATATGGTAGTTTCATTGTGACCCAAAACTGATTTTGGAATTACATCCCAAACTAGTATTTTGTTGTATGCCCCAAAATAATTTTGGCTTGAACCAAAGTGGTGAAAGAGAGGTGCGTGCCGGATTCAAATAAGTAATAATTTTTTTTCTAAATTGTATCCAAACTTTTGTTATAAGGAAACACAATTTTTTTTCCTTTTTTAAACCAAATACAGGGGGATTTTTTTATTTTAAAAAGTATAACTTTCACTTTATATATATATACCATAAATATATTGTTCGCACATTTTATAATAAATTGGCATAATACATTAAAAATATTAA